ATCACACGTTACTAACCCACTTGAAGGGTGGCTGTGCCGTGACTTGCTGCTCTCGAGCCCATGATCGTCGATTCACTGGTCAGTGTCACGTGGAGTCTAGGTCTGGAGTGTCCGAAGCCGGAATGCTGAAGTGCGATCTCATATGAGCTTCATATGTCGCGTCCCACTCAGTTCCCATTCGTAATAAGTAATTCTTTAAGCTTCTACAAATCATGGTGGTGGCATTGGTCGCGGCGGCGCAGGGACGCTCCACGGACGCGTCTTCAAACGCGTCGCAGTCTTCTTCGCTGCCCCACCCCTCTTCACGTCTTCCCTCTCCATTCTTCGTTCCAGCGCGTATCTTCTTCTTCCTTCTCGTTTGCCGCGTTTGCAGTCATGCCTCCTTTCAAAGGCGTTCCACAGAAGCGTGGAATCTTGTCGTTCTTCCGCTCCGCGTCCAAGCCAGATTCACTCGACGCACCGCCGCCGCCTCCAAAGAAGCCTAAGGAGGCCAAAGACAATTCCATTCTGCCTACCACATTACTCGCTCCATTGTCCGTGGACAACGTGAGCCCAGCAAGTGCACCTTCACCAAAGCTCTCGCCAGATTCTGACGCTCCGCCTCTCACTCGTTCAATCAGTGCGCCCACATTCAACACTGGCGACAAAGAGTTTGAGGAAGATGATTTCAAGTCAGATCTCCTGGCATTGTCCATGGACAATGCCAGCAGATCGACAGCTATACAGCCACTTGCGCGTCTGCCAGCATACTCGTATGTCTGCCCATTTAAGGAGGACGGACTTTGCAAGCGGAGTGACACATTCAAAGACTTCCATGCGCTTGCTTCACACTGTGCTCATAAGCACCCTGGAATGATCAAATCGCCCATTGAGTCGGACCCACTCGAAGATGGGACTGAGAAAATCCCTTGCCAGCTCGGATGCGGCAAGATGTTCGCGACATACGAGCTCGCCCACTCACACGCCATAGCCCAGAGGAAAGGCAAGTGCTTCGACTTGCGCGCTTCCTTCTATCCCCGTGCTTGTCCGTGGCCAGGCTGTGTGGCCGACAAGGCTATTGATTCTCGATCGTACGTCACCCACGCGGGCGCCCACAAGGATGACGCGAATGCTCCTTATCAGTGTTCCCAATGCGATCGATTCTTCATCGACTTGTACTTCCTAGCTTCGCATGAGAAGGACTGCTCGAAACGTAGTCCACGATTCGATGGCGTTCTGACCGCGGCCATGGCCAGTGATGGCGAGGACGAATCGCGACCAACTATGGTCATCATTGCGAGGGCATCAAGCCACGCCCCCAAGGTGTGGTATGCGGAGCGTTTCTGTTGCCAAGGTGGTTAGCAGGGAATTCTCGTTCACCAGGCAGCGGGGCTTACTGTCGGTGAAAGCGCGTCTTGCCTCGTGTAGGTCTGGAACCTTCTCAGGCTCGAAGCAACGCCGGCGATTCATGTTCTTGGTCAGGAATCGCAGGAAGTCAAATGAGACGCTGTTCCAAGTATCTTCATCGTTGATCTTGCTCAGACAGGTGCTATTCGCCTTGAGGTGGAGCTTGATGAGGTGAATTGTGTGCGCCCAGATCAAGCGAGTAGTCAGATTTTCCTGCTGTACAAACCGTTCAGCTGACTGTGAGATAATGGCGAACTCGTTGCGCATCGTCTCTTGCACTTCCGACTTGGCCGGCGACTGGTTGTCAGCGCCTCCGACTGAGTCCCGCCATTCCATGAAGACGTGGAGGCTTGGGAGAACTGTCTTGATCGCCCAATCCTTGAGGTTTGGTCCATCCAAGCCCGTCCATGGACTCCAAGCTGTGAGCGTGGGATCGATACTGACCCAATCGCTGCCGGAAGACTGCCGTTTTCTCTGCTGAGAACTATTGCTCATGTCGGCGGGTAACAGTCGGCGTGGCTGACAAGGTGTGGATTGGCGTGGTACCGTGTTGGGGAGGGCCTTCGGAAAGGTGAGTAGGCAAGACGCGTCCCATGCAGTAGCTTTATGGAGGGGCGTGGATGATTCTTTTATAGCCGCTCGGGTGCTTCCCAGCTTGTGAATTGAATTGTCGGTGTGTGAATGGACGACCCTGGCTGTAAACGCTGATGACCCAAACAAAGATAGCGCGCACTGTGCAAACAGGTACTAACACCGAAGGCGAAATGACACCGCGGCTCGTGCAGTCAAGAGACTGTGTCCACCCCAAGTGGATCAATCTCACTTAGGCATCTCGATAGTTTCTGCCGCAGGTGAGAGAAAATTGACAAGCATGAACATGGCGGTGATAGAAGCCACGAGATCTGCTCTCGAAGAAGGCATCATTACTCCTACCTGACGGCAAACACCAAGTCTTACAACACCAACATGGACGACGAACACGACATTTTGAATCCACAGGATGAAGATAGCAACGTTAAAGAGGAGGAAAACCCTTGGACGAGACATACGGCAAATCTGGAGTATCAGGCGACCGACCCAGGTATTCGGGGCGACGCAATGAGTCTGCGAAGCGAAGTCTTCCAGCAAGTAAGGCGCGGGGGCGCCAGCAGTCCACGAACAAGCTCGTCCCACCAGCTCAAAAGAAGCGGAGGCATACCGATCGCCAACGAAGACGAGCGACGGAAGCGGGTCAGAAGAAGTGACCTCGAAGACTTGAGCGCGCCAACCAGTATTAAGGATGAATTCGTACATCATACCGTGGACGAAGAGCAGGCCCGCAAAGCCTTGACAGATGCGAAAGAAAAACTCACCCCACCTACAGGGGACGTCGACTTCTTGAAATGGGCGGCCGAGGAGATCAAAGGTCGGAATGCAAGAGATGCTTCCCGACTCGTGCTTTTCTCCAAGACCTTGTCGATATCGAGTGGCCGCAAAGCAAATCTGATGGGTGCCGTTCAAATTCTGAGAAACTACACGCATGAGCTTTTCGAAGAACTCTCCGCGGCTGAGAAGGTGCGCGACGGCCTGAAAAAACGAGGCCCGCGCATGGCATCCTACCACAAACAAGCCGAACAATTGGCAGCGGAACTTCGAAAACACTACAGCATTTTCTTCGACCGGGTAGAGATCCTGTCGAAAACCGCGGACAAGGCATGAATGCAGGGCGTTTTGGGAGTGCATGTGCACAGCAATAGCGGGTGCTCGTGTCCATGGACAATGGTGGGAAAATGTGATGATCAAGTCGAGACTTCGAGGGCTCCAGTAGGTGCAGAACGCCGAATATTCCGTGGCAAGCTCTTACTCTGGCACACTCGCGCGAATTCAGACGCCGTGTATCATTATTTCGTGATTATGGTTGGCCTAGGACATTCATATAATCAGTAATTTATTCTACCAGATCCATTCGAACAGACAATTCTTTTGTACTCGGTGACAATGGGCGCTGCTGTCCACGGACAAAATTTCGGCATGAACTCATCGGTGGACAACATGTGAACAGGAAAGAGTGAATTTGGAAGAAAGAGCTAATGTGGGAAGAGCGCATATCACCGGGCTTTTCAAGCGAGCGCCTTGAAGGGCAACCATGACTCGATCGGGTCTTAACATCGAACCGTTATTTCAGAAAAATTAAGATCTTTTACAGCGTGCGCGATAGCGTGTGCGATATTTCGAAACATGCGTTAAGCAGCGTGACAGGGCAAGAACAGTATGCACGAACTGATGCAATACAAAGAAAAGTTTACGGAACCGAACGGGAGGGAACTCACCTGCGATCTGTTCAACTTAATCTGGATTCGCACGATTTGATCTGCGCTTGAATACTAAGCATTTTCAGCTAACAGAGACGCTGGACTTTGCTGGTGGATTTGGCATGACTCGCATCGCCCCAGGAGAATGGGAGGTTGGGCCGCTTGGCTTTGTAAATTACAATTGTGTCAGAGATGAATTCTTCAGAGGAATGTTTGCCACGGACCTTATGCTATGCATACGTTTAGCATGATATCGATCGAGCTTCCAGGCACACTTCTATGTTGATCCTACACATCTTCCAGGGTGCTTGAAGCGCGAGACTTTCGTGGCAATGATTCGTACGATGGCACGCGCACATTCACTTTCCTCACAGGAACACGCCGTCTTCAATCTCGCGATTCTGCTCTGCCGCATGCGCTCCTGCGGCCGCGCCGTCCCCACTCCTTTGCTGCAGCACGCCATCGCCACCTCCATTGACCCTTGCACCACTTTCCCCAACCACCCCATGCCCACTCCCATTCATCCTAACACTCCCATTACACTCATTCTCTCCCGGTTTTTCCGCCGCATCATCGTCCTCTCTTGGCCGCCACGGTGATCCCCACCACTTCCCTTCTTAACGGCTCAATCCTCTCCTCGAACCTCTTCATAACCTCTCTGTTCTCTAATACTGCTTCGTAGCATTCGCGGGTTATTATTGTTACGAGGGTAGCCTTCGAGTTGCGCGTTCCTAGACTGCACATGCGCGATGCTGAGCGTGCTTGGCGTAAATAGATGATATAGGAAGGTTAGTAAGCGCTGAGGCGAAGTGCGGAGGTGAGATGGGTGTGGTCTGAGCGGACATCGCGAGTTACGAGGTTCGCGAGGGTTGGTGTGGTGCTTCGCTGTGTGGTGGGCAGATGGCAGAGGGTGCCCGGGTGAGAGTGCGGTGATGGCGACGTGCTTGTTGCTGGGATGCTATGAACAAGATAGGTTTATTGATCATGTCGTCGGTGCCGTTGAATGAAAGGCCTAGACAGAGGATAGTTAGAGGACATGCCTCTTGGGACCAAGTTTAAAAGCTACGTAAGCAAGTTGACCAAACCTCTCCCTAAGCCGTGGGAACGCCGCACGACTCCGGCCCCGCATTTGCAAGTTTGAACCCAACCAAAGCACCGTCTTCTTGGCTCTAGCGAAAAACTTGCTCGCAGCCGCTCACCCTGATAGCTTAATTTTGTACAACATATATCAGCTAAAACACAACTTACCCATCAACTCAGATTACCAAGGCACTTTGGTAAGTTGGCTCATCGCCCTCAGCACAGAAATAGTCGCTAACCTGGGTCGTTTAGGCGGAGTGGTTAACGCGCTGGCCTGCTAGTCGTCTAAACAGTCGAAAGCTAGCCAGTTCCTTCGGGAGCGTGAGTTCGAATCTCACAGGTGTCGCATAAAACCTGAAGTGATCACACAAAGTCCTTTTTTTGGTTGCGGAGTGATGAGAGGAGGAAGGTGTCGACTTCGACGATAGCTTTTGATCAAACCCCACCCACCACATCGAAACACGCTGCTGTAAGATCATTCACCAGGCCGTCGCATTCCGCAATATTTTGGAGGTTATGGTGCATGTACAAGATAGTATTACATCTACTCATCTACCAGGATTCATGCCATGCATGAGGTCAGGCTTGTCAAGCACCATTCCCCTCAGCAGCACCCACTGCCTCAAGCCCTCCCACTCATCGCCCTCTTCGTCGCCGCGCTTCCAAATCTCCTTGAAGCCCCATGCACACGCTATGCGATCGAGTGCTGCCCGCTCATCCTCGCGCATATACCGATCAAGCAGCGGAACACCGGGCCGCCAGACGACGCGGTCGTGGTGGTCGTTGTATGTTGTGAGGGCAACGAAGCCAAGAGTGCCGGTGCACATGACATATGTGCTGATTCCGGCAAAAGCGTAGAGCTTGAACGTCCATGGGTCAATGTAGCCGCTGTACACGGACAGTTCCTGGGCGATCATGTAGATGGCGAGAGGCGTGATGGCTGCGAGCACCGACGGCAGGCCCATTTTGGTAATCATGCGGTGTCTCCGCCATGCTGGTGTGCGATATGTGTGGTCGACCACGGCAAGCGCGAGCGAGATATCCTTGGCCTCAATGGCGGCTGTGAGAGCTTCATCCGCCAGATCAGCAGGGACCGCCTGCTTCGCCGACTTTGGCGATGGCTTGGAGAACTTTGGCGGCGAGGAGCCTTCGACAGGCACCGGCTTGTTCGCGTAGAGGTAGAGGGCCTCGGGTATCGTCTTTGGGCGCGCGAGCAGCCGTTGGAGGTGGATGTAGAGGCCGAGCACATTTGGCGATATAAAGACCTTCTCGTGTCTGATGAAGTCTTCGGCGAGTTTGGAGAGGTATGCTGGTGCTGGCAGCGCATCGAGGCCCAGTGTCTTGGACTTTATCTTGATTTTGCTGGTCTTGTCACCATCATCCCCGCTCAACCCAGAGAGTATTGCGCCCGCTGAGCTCTGTCGAATGGGGGCCTTTGCTGGCAGCGGCTGCCGTGATCGGATCGCAATTGCCTGCCGCGCGACATCCTCCAGTTCATCGAGCACCCGCAGTATCGAGTCCTCTGGTTCGACTTTGGGTGAGTCGTATATCGCCTTGATCTGTGCCTCCACTTGTGCAAGTTTTGCCTTCAGCACAGCAATCCTGTCCGACAGCGGCGCACTCTCGTCAGGCGCATGGAACGGCTCTCCAAATGCTCTTGCTGGTGTGGAGGCAGCCCCTCGTATAAAAGTTCGTGGCGCAACATGTCTCCGCGCGGGTGTGCTCCGAAGCGATGGTGCCTTGAGGGCTGATACAGACGCGAACGCGCGTCGGTGTGCAGGCTGCTGTGAAATAAAGTCGCACAATTGGCACACTGGCCGCGACGACATGCGCATTGGCAGGCGGCCGGGTGGCATGGCGGTGGAGTGGCACTTTGCGGTTGCGGCGGCCTTCGGGGAGTGACGAAGCTATGCGTGGCTGAGAGTGACGCTTGGCAGCGACTGCAGTCGAAGGTTCCAAGGACAAGCCCAATGATCCCACACGACATCCACTGCACGCCGACATACACGAACAGGCGGCAGGATAACATAGAAGCGGCCTTTTTGACCACAGAAAGAGCAGGAAATCCCCAAACCCGCCAGCGTGCACACTACACCATGCCCGCACCACCTCCCCCTCCGCCCATGCCGCCCATGGGACGGGGCGCTGGAGGGCCTCCACCACCACCGCCAATGCCGGGCATGAAGGCGCCGGGAGGAAAGCCGCCATCGGGAGCAGGAAGAGTACGTCGCATTCACCTGGGAGGAGAACGCAGCAAGACGTGAAGCGGGCCGCATGGCACAGCGCAGCAGCTAACATGTCACAGGGAGCACTGCTGTCCGACATTGGAAAGGGCGCCAGACTGAAGAAAGTCACACAAGTCAACGACCGCTCTGCCCCCATTGTCGGCAAGGTAAAGGACGCGGCACCCGCCATAGGAGGAGCACCGCCAGTGCCAGGAATGGGACGACCGCCTGCGCCGCCTGGACTTGCGCCGCCCGCGCCTGGAGGGAACCGAGCGAGGAGCAACAGCGATACGGGAGGAGACAGCGCAATGGCATCGGCCCCGCAGCTGGGAGGGCTGTTCGCAGGCGGCATGCCGAAGCTGAGGAAGTCGGGTGGTGTCAATACCGGCGCAGATCAGGGCAATACCCCGTATCTGTCAGACCCAGAGACATCACGCAGTTCAGTACCAAAACCACCACGAGGCTCAGCACCAAAGCCACCAGGAGCGCCGCCGGCACCGCCAGTCCCTGGTGCACGACCGTCGCTGAACCCACTCCGCGGCCATCTCATGGACTCGAGACCCTCGTCCGTCGCCTCGAGTATAAGCATGAAGCCAAAACCACCGCCTCCAATCGGAAAGAAGCCGCCTATGCCACCGCCATCCTCACGAAAGCCCTCTGGGTTGGCGCCTCCGCCCCCAGCATCGCCAGCTCGCGCACCACCGGCTCCTGGAAGCGCACCGCCCGCACCCCCTCCACTCCCGCCGTCCTCGACACCAAGCGCACCACCCCCGCCTCCTCCTGGCTCGATACCACCCGCTCCTCCGCCACCACCGCCGTCATCGGCTCCGCGACCGCCTGTACGATCAACCCCACCTCCGCCGCCAGGACCACCGCCGCCTTCAAAAGCGCCAGTCGACGACGACGAGTACGATCCATACAAATACGACGGCAGCCAGTCACGAGCACCACCTCCCCCAGCTCCTGCACCCCCGCCCCCCAAAGCGCCAAATGGTCTCGCGCCATCATTAGCAGAGCAGGCCGCTCGCAATGCTTTTGGCGCGGCTCACGGCCGCACATCGCCCGCTGCTCCTCCACCACCGCCTCCTGCAGCTGCACCATCACCACCTCCATTTGCTCCACCGCCCGCAGCATCGGCGCCCCCTCCCCCACCAAGTGCTGCGCCAAGTCGACCTGCTGCCAGCCCAATGCCATCACGGTCGATGCTCGACGCAAGCTCCTACACGCTCACCAACGGCGGATCAATCCGAAGTCCAACAGGTCCAGGCATGGGCGGCGGCGGTCCCGCCCAGAAAGGCAAAATCGTACCCATTCACGACCTGCGATGGCGTTTCCAGGACGAAGCACAATTTCCCCGCCCAAGAGACTTTTCTAATGGCCCGAAGCGGTACCGCGCTGGGCGTGGAAGCAGTGTGCCTTTGGATTTGAGTGCGTACGAATGAGATACCAAGGAATTGGAGCGATGCGTGTGTGTGCGTGTGTATATTGTCTATTGCTATCTTGCACGGAGGGGTCATAGGGTAGAACTTTGTAGCTTAGCCATGGCGTTATGAGGGGTATGGCTTTTGGTGCAAGAGAATGCGAATAAAGCACTTAGTGTGTTTAGATATAACCCAATTAAGATATCAACTCCGTTGTGTGGACTTGTCGCGCGCGATGTGTCGTGGAGTGAGTGGTACTTGTTAGAGCTGGGGTTGTGAATATGGGGGAATGGAGAAGATGAGTGATTCGTCGATGTAAGAGGGGTATTGTTGAATGGGACTGGGCTGCTATGTGTCACATGATACATGTGTATTATCATTCACGAGGCTCGAGGTACCTTATAGCACATGTTTCCTCTTGATTATGTAGATAGTGGCATGTATGTGTGTATTTGATCTCATATTTCAGCCGATATTTCGAGAATGTGCAAGTGAAGTTTCTGGGTGTCAAGCTTTTCTGGAATTTCCTTATTAGCTTGGGGTTTGAGATTTGGAATTGCTCTGGCTTGGATGCTTAGATGTAAATTTTCTGATTGGAGGTTGAATTGTGCGTATGGTTTATTTGGTTATAAGCGGAGGGGGTGTTTACGGACAAGAGAGACTATACTTCTTCGACGGAAGTTGGGTAGGAATGAGGCACGGGTCATGAATTCGGGGACAAGACTTGAAGTGGTGGACATGCAGTATAAGCAGTTCCATTGATTTGCGCTTCCTGAACTAGTAAAGATAGGGAGTATTGCTTTTTTGGTGTGTACAGCAAAGGTATTGCGCTGTGATGCTTTCCATTTCTGACAACTCGCTTGCTGTCGAAAAGTCCTGCTTTTTTAGTACATTATTTGAAACAGACCCACGAAAACGTCGCAGGGGGTATGTTTATACCTTACATAAGGAATCTACACATTTTCGGGTTCCTTGATGCCGGAGACGTCCCTATGATTGCTTTAGTCTTCGTGAAGGTGGTAGAGTGCTTGTAAGAGTGTGCAGATGTGCTGCAAGGTACTTAAGTACGGTCGTTGATCACGCTTGATTACTTTGACGGTTGTCGGTCATGTCGATTTTGCTGTTAGCATGACTCGCAACTAGCATGTCCTTATGGCACGCGCTTGGCTTTGTAGAACTGGCAGTTAACATGCACACAAGAAGAGAGGCGGCTGTGCAAAGGAGCTCGTATTTCTCATCATAACAACGTGGGTGCACAGACCACCGAACTTCATGCGATACACGATACAAGCTCCTCCTTACGTAGCGTATTAGACGTTATATGTAATTTCCCACTTCAGGCAACGTGGACTTTCTCTTTACTTGATCGTGCAATAACCCGATTACCGCGATGCACGAAGTCGACGCGCGTGGTGGCCAATGCACCAGTGGCGGTGCATCACCCAATACCCAATGCCAGCTCCTTCGTATGGCTGGCCACTGACACATGACCGTAAGCGCTCAGCCTGGTCAGTATATTCAGCAACATGTGGTGCTTTGCACTTCCTCTATGTACAAGACTTCTCTTGCATTACGATCGATATTAGCCAGCGTCCTTTAAGCAAAGTATGCTGGCGCAACGATGCGCCTCTTACATCGCCTGCCAGGCGGCGACTTCGGACTGACCTTCTGCGACGACGATCAAGCGCCACCGTATGCTA